CGGCTCTTTCCCTGCCACTTGGCGAGGTGCGAGGTGCGGCGGCCCAGGTCCGGACTTAACTCCTGCCTGCTTGGGAGGTGGGACAGCCTTGTCTCCTCCGTTAGGCCTGGAGCGAGCGCGGCTGCACCAGGGCCGATCGCTACCTGGAGCGCCCTCTGGCGGTGATGGGCGTCAGGCCTGGGCGTCTCCGCGCGCCTCGGGGTCTTAGGAGTTAGCCCCAGGATTGGCTTGTCTGAAATGCGCTGGACAGCGCCTGCCAGAGCCCGTAGCTCTGAAAACGATTGCGCCAGGTTATTACCTCGCCTCTCCATGTCGGCACTGCTCAGTCTGACACTAAGGAAGCGCGAGACAGTTGCTAGGATGGGCACGGTGGAGGTCCAGGGGAGCCAGGTGCCACCATGGGCATCCGCGTCAGTGTGGACATTGCTGGGCCTGGAGTCAGACCTGTCATTCTTCTCGGAACTAGCCACTGCCCAGAGGAGTTGGGCTGGTCTTCCGTGGCTTCTTGATGTTCCTCAGTTTCATCGCCATCACAGCTGAGCCACCTTCTGTCCTGGGCATTGGAGCAGGAGGGGTGAGGCTGTCCATGGAAGCTGGGGGTCTCCCAGAGGGGAGGGAGGGAGGGCTGTTTTTTTACTGCGTAGAATGTGCCTGGGAGGAATCCCAGGAATTTTATTTATTTATTTATTTATTTATTTATTTATTTATTTATTTATTGCTGGAATCACCATTCCTCGACCCGAAGTTAGGGGATTCAGTGTGGTTTGGATGTGGGTGGGGTGGGGTTGAACCCCTAAAAATTGTGGAAACTTTCTGTGGCCTCAGCCTCTAAACACAATTCACAAGAAAAGTTTGGAGAGGGCAGTGGTGATGTCCATAATGGGTGAATTTTTACCGGTGCCAGACAGGGCACGGGATTCAAGGGTGGTGTGACAAGTCACTCACCTTCCCAGGTAAGCACAGACCTGCTGGGATACTTCTGATTGAAACCAGCGGTCGTCACAATTGTTGAGGAATACAAAGAACACTGCAGATTATTGGGTCATTGTGGATGCGTCTTGAATTTTGCCCAGGCACCTGGTTGGAGGCTGCAGGTAGGGACAGTAGTGCAGGGAGGCAGCCAGGGGGGAACCTGACGGTTCAGCACTGAGGACTGGACAGCGTCCTCCGGACAGCCTGGCACAGCCAAAGGAAGGATGGATAGCCACTCACACCCAGGGCCAGCACAGCTCAGAGGCTGACGGCAGAAACCCAGGACTTGGGGCCTGGGACCTGTGCTCATGGGGTCTGGACTGGAGCTCCAGGAGAGCTACAGAAATGCTTTAGATATCATGGAAATAACTCTTTGTAGTGCTTCAGATTATAAACCTTTTAATACATGGTCTCCTCTTTGCCCACAACAGATAAGGAATATAGGTCTGGATATCTAATAGATGAGGGAGCTCAGAGAGGATAATCAATGTTTCCAAGTCACACAGCCAGGGAGGGGTTTGAGCTAAGACTAGAACGGCTGCCTTGGTTGTTAGCAGATGCATTCCCACAGATTTTGAAAGTCATGGGGGACCCTTGTATTGGGATCCTGAGGGCTGATGAGCCAACAAAAGGGGGAAGCACTTAGGGTAAGGGCACCACTCACATGGGGCCATGCTCAGGGCTTTGAGGAGGAGGGGGGCTCCCAATAATGTGTGAATTTGTCTATTCCTAAAGCCTGAGGTGGCATTCAAGGCTCATCAGAGCTCACCTATCTGGACTCAGTAGGACAGGATTCCCACCTTTGGGCCAGAAGTCACTCTTCTCTTACCTGGTTAATCTGCCCCACCCTGGGCTGGAACTAGGGTGAGGTGAGTGAGAAACCAAGGGTGCAAAATTTAAGGAGGCACTCACTCTCAGGATCATGCAAGTGCAGACTAGTGTCAGCATGACTCTAAAACTGAGTATCTTCCTTCCCACCTCCCCCTCCTTCCTTCACCCTAAGCCAGGGGTGGGCAAACTTTTTGACTCAAGGGCCACAATGGGTTCTTTTTTTATTTTTTTAAATTAAATCTTTATTGTTCAGATTATTACATTTGTTCCTCTTTTTTCCCCCCATAACTCCCCTCCTCCCAGTTCCTGCCCCACCCTCCGCCCTCACTCCCCACCCACTGTCCTCATCCATAGGTGCACGATTTTTTTTTTTTGGTTCTTTTTTTTATTATTATTTTTATTTTTTTTATTTTTTTTAATTAAATCTTTATTGTTCAGATTATTACATTTGTTCCTCTTTTTTTTCCCCCCATAACTCCCCTCCTCCCAGTTCCCGCCCCACCCTCTGCCCTCACTCCCCACCCACTGTCCTCATCCATAGGTGCACGATTTTTGTCCAGTCTCTTCCCGCATCCCCCACACCCCTTTCCCCCCCAGGAATAGTCAGTCCATTCCCTTTCTATGTCCCTGATTCTATTATAATCACCAGTTCATTCTGTTCATCAGATTATTTATTCACTTGATTCTTAGATGCACTTGTTGATAGATGCATATTTGTTGTTCATAATTTGTATCTTTACCTTTTTCTTCCTCTTCCTCTTCTTAAAGGATACCTTTCAGCATTTCATATAATCCTGGTTTGGTGGTGATGAACTCCTTTAGCTTTTCCTTATCTGTGAAGCTCTTTATCTGACCTTCAGTTCTGAATGATAGCTTTGCTGGATAAAGTAATCTTGGTTGTAGGTTCTTGGTATTCATCACTTTGAATATTTCTTGCCACTCCCTTCTGGCCTGCAAAGTTTCTGTTGAGAAATCAGCTGACAGTCGTATGGGTATTCCCTTGTAGGTAACTGAGTTTCTTTCTCTTGCTGTTTTTAAGATTCTCTCTTTATCTTTTGCTCTTGGCATTTTAATTATGATGTGTCTTGGTGTGGTCCTCTTTGGATTCCTTTTGTTTGGGGTTCTCCACGCTTCTTGGACCTGTAAGTCCATTTCTTTCACCAGGTGGGGGAAGTTTTCTGTCATTATTTCTTCAAATAGGTTTTCAATATCTTGCTCTCTCTCATCTTCTGGCACCCCTATAATTCTGATGTTGGTACGCTTGAAGCTGTCCCAGAGGCTCCTTACACTATCCTCGTATTTTTGGATTCTTTTTTCATTTTGCTTTTCCGGTTGGGTGTTTTTTGCTTCCTCGCTTTTCAAATCATTGACTTGATTCTTGCGCTCCTCTGGTCTGCTGTCGGGAGTCTGTATAATATTCGTTATTTCAGCCTGTGTATGCTTAATTTCTAGTTGGTTCCCCAATATAAGATCGAGGGTCTCATTAGTTTTCTTGTAGATCTCATTAAGTTTATCGGCGGCTTCTAAACAGTTCTTGAGAGACCTTAAAAGTGTGGTTCTGAACTCTATATCTTCCATTGACAATTTTGTCCTGTTTCTTTGTCTCCGCATTTTGTTATGCTTCCTTGGTGCACCCCCTAGTGGTCTTTGTTCGAAGTCTTATAGTTAAATCTTGATTGTTGTAGCTAATTCCAGGGAGGGTTTGACCTCCAGGCCAAGTGGCTATGAGAATCAGCTGTGTCAGCAGTGAGAGAACTTCTGTCCTCTAGGGAGGTGCTAATCTAGCCTTTGCCTGAGGCTATCCGGCAAATGCCTGTGTGCAGGGCTTGGGCGGGGCGGGTCGCACAGGATCAACAGGGTGGGCCGGAGAGAGCAGTTATGGCGGCTCTCAGTCCTGTCCCCAGGGGCTCTGTCTCTCTGAGTCCCAGCACCCGCTGCAAACCTCGGAGAGAAAGCTGCACTCGCTCTTACTGAAGCCAGACAGTCCCGCTTCTCCCGTTTGAGTCTGGGTCCCTAAAGACTCGCCCGTATCTGGAGCTCAGAGTCTGCGACTCCCTCCCGATTGAAAACGCCAACCGCGCACTCCGCACCTCAGAATTTGACTTCAGCACTGTGCCTCCTCTGAGTGTCCGTATGCGTTTCTCTTTCCTCCTAGTTGTAGGACTTCCACTCAGCCAGCGTTCCTGTGGTTCTGGGTGATGTCTGTTCCGTTTTTTAGTTTCACTTTTGAAGTAGTTGTTCAAGGCAGCAAACTCCGGCGTTAACCTATGCCGCCATCTTGGTTCTCCCACAATGGGTTCTTAAACTGGACCGGAGGGCCGGAACAAAAGCATGGATGGAGTGTTTGTGTGAACTAATATAAATTCAAAGTAAACATCATTACATAAAATGGTTTGGTTTTTTTTTTTTTTTTTTTTTTTTTAGTTTTATTCATTTCAAACGGGCCAGATCCGACCCGTGGGCTGTAGTTTGCCCACGGCTGCTCTAAGCCCTAAGCTCCCAGAGGCCAGAGACAACCTTTGATAATCCCTGGGTGTCCCAGGCCAGCATCTGCTCATAGCAGGACTCACAGTTAGATTCAATAAACGTTTGTCAGTGACCAAGCCTCATTTTTCTTTCCCGTGAGAAAAATGGCCTAGGCCAGTGGTCGGCAAACTGCAGCTCTTTGGCCCTTTGAGTGTGGCTCTTCCTAAGCCTTAGGAGTACCCTAATTAAGTTAATAACAATGACCTACCTATATAGTTTAAGTTTAAAACATTTGGCTCTCAAAAGAAATTTCAATCATTGTACTGTTGATATTTGGCTCTGTTGACTAATGAGTTTGCCGACCACTGGCCTAGGCTGGGAAGGGCATGTGTGTGTCTCGTGATCTGACAGAGGTTTGACCAATGGCTGGACTTCTCGTTTACTAGAGATAAGCAAATGACATGTGCGGGGAGAACCCAAAGCCTGTGCAAGAGTCAGAAAGTCCACACCAGAAAAGGAAATGTGGGGCAACTGAACTGGAGAGTGCCGATGACTTGTTCCAAGTCCCCCTGCCGCGTATGGACGGACAGGGCTACTGACAAGTTCTTCCACGATGTGACCCAATCAGGAAAAACCTGATGCAGTTACTGGATGCACATCGAGTGTATCGACTTTCTACTGATTGGGCCTGGAGCAGTAAGCAGGATCAATCTGTTGCTTTTGTCTGCCAGTAAATGCTGCGCGCTGATTGGCCCCGGTTAAGGAGACGGAAGAAACAGCGTGCACGTGGCACCCGCGGCCAGAGCAGCGCGCGGCGGGACCGGGAGACCATGGCGTCGCTCAGTGGTGGCACCGTCGTCTGTGTCATCTGCTTGGAGAAGCCTAAATACCGCTGCCCCGCCTGCCGCGTGCCCTAGTAAGCGCCGGACGTCTTGGGGGAGGCGGACGCGAGTGTCGGGCCGGGTGGGGGTGGGGCGGGGGGCCGGGCCGGGACGCGGGAGGGTGCGCAAGGCCTTGAGCTGAAATGCCCTGTCGGTTCTGTTACAGCTGCTCGGTGACCTGTTTCCGGAAGCACAGAGGTAAGGCCCCGCGCCCCCGCCTCAGCCCGGGCCTCCCTCCTCGTGTGGGGCGGCTCCCACGTCCCGCCCGGGTCTCGGGGCTGTGCACCCCTCAGGCCCGCTCCCTCCGGGCCTTGTCGCGCCCGACCCTGTCGGATCTCTTGGGGACACCTCTGCCTGTGAATGCTTCTCCGGATTTTCAGCAGTCAGAACCTTTCTTCTGCTCTGTCTTTTCTTCCACGTGCTATCCTTTTCTTGTGTCTTTTTTTTAAAAAGAGTGGGTCGTTTTTTGCCGGAAAAGGCAACCCAGCTATTTCATCTTTCTTTTCCTCATCATTCGGCCCAAGTTGCGCTGGCTAATGTTAACGAGAACGTTCTTCTCAATAATGTCTTGTTAGAAACAGTGAGGTAGGTCTTTTTACAATAAGGCGATATGTCCTTGGCTGTTAATGTTGTCAAGTGTACATTTTAACTGTTCCTCCAGCGCCTCTTCTCAGCCCTCGGGGGCCCTTTCCCACGACTTCACGATTGGTTGATTCATGTTAAAGTTACTCGTTTAGGTTCTTTAAAATTTATCTTTATCGTTGGTAGTATTATAGATGTCCCCTCCCCCCTTTTTCTCATTAGTTGTTTGTTTCATCCCCTCTAGTCTCTGCTTTACAACAGTATGTTTCATGCCTTTCCAACCCCACCCCCTGCCTTTTTTCTAATATCTCTGGAGTATTTCAAAAGAAACCTTCGCCTGGCCGGCGTGGTTGAGTGTGGACCTATGAACCAGGAGGTCACGGTTGGATTCCGTGGTTCAGTTCCTGGTCAAGGCACATGCCGGGGGTTGCTGGTTCCCCAGTAGGGGGGCCTGCAGGAGGCCAATGATCAATGATTCTCTATCATCACTGGTGTTTCTCTCTCTTCCTCTCTGAAACCAATAAAAATATATTTAAAAAAGTAAACCTTCAACTAAAGATAGACAGGAAAGAAGATAACTGTTTTGCTGGAAATAGGGCTGGAGAGCTGGGTTGGGAGCACTTCCCCCTCACCTTGCATCCCGGTGAGGCCCCTCTAAGAACCCCATCCGGAGCTCTTACCTGTTTTCTCCTGCCGCGGCCAGGGTGAGTTTTCTGAAATGCAAATTGGAGCAATTCACTCCCTTGTTGAAAAGGCCAGTTCTCTCTCCAGCACTGGTCAGTGGTTCTTAACCTGGGTGTGGTTCTCCCAGGGAGATACCACTTCACAAAGTTTTTGTTTTACAGTAGCTGAGGAGGAGTTGGTGGTACTTCTGGTAATTGGTATTGATTCTAATAAACACCTTGTGGTGTGTGAGACTGACAGCATTAAAGACCTTTCCACCCTGAACGCAGTAGCACACTTGCTGAGAAATACCTGTAACGGTCGGCCGCGTGTGGCATACTTTTGCTCCTGCTTCCTCCACTTGTGTTCCAGCCACCACCCGTCTGCTGGCATTTGCTCATCACCATCTCCTTGCACCTGACGCTATTTTAAGGGTGGGTGCTAGCCACACATCTTTCTTCTGCCAGAAATGGTCTTTGACCTGGCAATGCCTCCTCCTGCAAGACTCCTCTTGGTCTTATCTTCTGGCCCTTTGCATCTTATCCATCTCTCTAGCTGTCATCCCTAAGACTGAACCCCTCCGGGCTGGACCTGTGTATGCCCAATGGCACCAGCACATGCAAATTTGATACCTGAAATTCCTGAGAAAATAGTTTGATGCTAATTGAAGTCAGTGTGCCACTTAAACATAATGAAAGCCCTGTGATACTAGGCAAGGCAAGGAGGGATCCGGACAGGTCCTAGGGGTCCATAAGTTGTTTTGCCAGGTTCAGGGTTGCTTGTTTTTGCTACTTTCCCTTGATCTGATCTCTCACTTCCTCTGCATCCATCTCTACCCCCACCCACATCCCTTCCTCCATCCATATGCTTCCCACCTCGATGCTGGCTTGGTGAGGAGGTATAGCCTTGTCACTAAAATGGAGGTGATGTGCTCCTGATGTTTGTGTGTCTTTCAGAGCAGTGCAATACCGAAACTCGTCTTGTTGAGGAAAAAATATCAGCTTTTACTGCAAGAACTATAAAGCCCGAGGAAAACAAAGGTGGGTTAGTTGGCTTCAAATAAACAAACCTAGAAAGGAGTTTCGAATAGAGTAAGTTGAAAGGAAAGAGGAGACGGGCTGGGGCAGGGAGTCAAGGACCATGTCTTCATTAGGGAGAAGCAGCTTCCTTAGTCCAGAGCAGGGGTCCTCAAACTACGGCCCGCGGGCCACATGCGGCCCGCCGAAAACATTTATCCGGCCCGCCGGGTGTTTTTGCCGCCGCTGTGTGCATAGGAATTTGTTCATAGTTTTTTTTTTTAAACTATAGTCCGGCCCTCCAACGGTCTGAGGGATAGTGAACTGGCCCCCTGTTTAAAAAGTTTGAGGACCCCTGGTCCAGAGCATCAGGAGTGGGGGCACTGTCCTTGCTGGTGATATAGAGCAGCCTAAAGGCATTGTTCAGGACAGGAATAATAGGGGCAAGGGGCAAGAGGGGGAAGACCATGGGTGTGGTTTGGGGGTGAGGGAGCCTTCTGTAGTCATGGCTTCAGTCTCCCTTCATGGGTCTGGCTGGACCTGTCAGTTCACCTGAGCTGGGCCTAGGTGAGAGGCTGCCCTTGGCTCATGACACCTTGCTGCTGCTGCTGCTGGAGGCTTCTCACAGGTTACAGTGGTAGAGAGCTGCCATCCCATCCTGCCAGCCAGCTGGCTACTTGGGGTCATGCATCATGCCTGCCTCTGAAAGCAGCCCCCTCTGATGCCACCCAAGGCATCTTGAACATTCACAGCAAGGAGGTGGCCCGGTTCTGCCCTTGGACAAACTTCCTTATTGGGTTCAGGCAATGCCAGCAATTTCTGCCCATGAGATTGACGTTAGCAGGTTTTTATGGAGCACACCTAGTTTATTGGTCCATCTGAGAGCTGGAGCCATGGTGAGGAGAGAAGGAGGATAAGAATTGGAAAATCAGCCTCCAGCATAACGACCACAGGGAGACACATAGACTAAGCGTGTGAACACTAGGATGCATTTAAGTCACCAATGTTTCTTTCATTTTCCTTCCCTTTCCTAAAAGAGGAGTTTATACAAATGGGTTACTGTCACGTGTGTGCCTATACATTTTAAAAATCTATTTGAGTAGTTAAAATCTGGTACCTGGCCTTTCTTTAGAGCCATAAGTAGTTGATTGTGTTATATATTCCTTAGATGATGATGACGACTCTGTAGCTGATTTTCTCAATAGTGACGAGGAACAGGACAGAGTTTCTTTGCAGAATTTAAAGAATTTAGGTAAGTCTGTACTGTGCTTACTTTTTGTCAACCATTGAGATACATTTAATCTGTTGTATAGAACGTGGTTTTATTTATGATTTTAGAGAAAGAGAGGAAGGGAGAGAGAAAAAAAGAAACATCAATTTGTTTTTCCACTTATTTATGCATTCGTTGGTTGCTTCTTGTACCCGCAGCCTTGGTGTATGTGAACAAAGCTCTAACTGAGCCACCTGGCCAGAGCCAGAACGTGATTTTTAAGGTTATTAAATACTTTAGCGTGGCATGCAGAGCCCTTTATCCAGCCACACGGTTCTATTAACAACACAGGGTTTCCACACCTCTCAGCTTGTCTGTAAGGCTGTTTTCTTGGCTTGGGGTCACAGTGGCTTTGTGAGTTAGCAGAGTTCTTTTCCTCCTTCAAGGCTTTGTTCAAGTGTCCTGCCCTCAGTTAAAGTGTTCTTGACCTTTGACTGTCAGAATTAGATACTTTTTCATATTCCCATGGTGCCTTGTAATATACTACTCACCAGATTTTATGGTAATTTGTTTCACATTAGTCTGTAGGGGAGAAACCTACATTTATTTCCATGTTCCTAGTGCTCCATTTGCAGTCTAGCCATTAATGCATACTGGATAATCCCAGGACTTGATTTTTTAAATTTGTTTTTATTTTTTAAAAAATACCTTACTGGGTTCGAGGATATTTTTCCATTGATTTTTAGAGTGTGCAAGGGAGGGCGAAAGACAGAGAAATATCAATGTGAGAGAGACATAGATTGGTTGCCACCTGCACTCGCCCTGATCAGGGTGGGGGATTGTGCCTGCAACTAAGGTGGGTACCCTTAACCAGAATAGAACCTGAACTGTTCAGTCCTCGGGCTGACACTCTATCCATTGAGCCAAACTGGCTAAGGCTATCTTTATTGTTGAAAGTATTATATGTCCCCTTTTTTGGACTTGATTTTTAGAGGATATGGGTGTTAATAATACCCAGTATTTTGTGGGATTGCTCATTCAGTCCCTAGAGCAGTTCTGTTACCTCTAATTCATGGGCCAGGGTACTTCCTGCAGGTGGGCATTATTTTCATTCCCATTTCACAGGCTGCCTGACAGGTGGTGCTTTGCACCCGGTCCCATCGCAGTGGTTAGACAGAATGAGGTTGGAGCTAGCTGGGGATAGTTGTGAACAGTTCTGTCATCTGTAAAGCACCATGCAGGTGTTAGAGTCATTTCACTACCGACCGTGCTTCAGGCTGGATCAAGCACTTAAGCATCATTCACAAGCACTCCCTCTGGAGTTTGACATGCTTGATTCAGTGTATAACTCCTTGCCAATAAGCTAAGGCTGTTCTCTGTATATGTAGTCATGAAGTATTTAACTTGGAAATCATTTTATATGCTGATTTCACCTTGTTTATGTAAAGCACTGGGGTTAATTTGTGGGTTTAAAGGTTAAGGGGATACAATATTACATTTAAAGCATTTAGCTTTCAGCCATCTCCACCTGTTCCAGCTTCAACTCAGATTGGCTTTCTTTCCTTAATTTTTAAGGGGAGTCTGCAGCATTAAGAAGCTTACTGCTCAATCCACACCTTAGACAGTTGATGGTCAGCCTCGATCAGGGGGACGACAAGGCCAAGCTCATGAGAGCCTGCATGCAGGAGCCCTTGTTTGTGGAGTTTGCCGACTGCTGTTTAAGCATCGTGGAACCATCCCAGAATAAGGATCCTTAAAATGGATTATGGTGCTGCTTGCTCCTTCTCCCAGGAGACCAGCTAATGTGGGGCCCCAAGCAAGGGCAGTGTTTCCAGGACGAAGACCTGCTGATGTAGGGTAGGTCATGCGAGTCTTCACCTCCATTGCTGTGGGCTTAGGTGTCAGACAGATGGGGGCACTCAAGTGGCACACATTCAAATGGTTGTTTTTAGGTTATTTATTTTTGGTACAGTTAAGGTAGATATCATGAGATAATTTATCAAGTTTCACACTTGTTTGAGTGAAAACTTGCTCAGTGTTACTAAATAAAATTAAGGTGTGGTTCTGTGGTATGTTGCATTGTTCATCATCCTTGATTCATAATTTAATTGCTTCAAATTAAATAAATCAACAACATATTAAATAGTAAAGTTTTGTTCCTTTTAAAGGAACTAAACACAGAATTTCCCCAACCAAAATTTTAGAGCTGATCTCAAGCTGCTTGTTCTGTTTGTGGGGAATCAGAGTGGGGGGTACCCCACTGTAGCAACAGACAACTCTCAATCTTGTTTGATTGCAGTTGGCTCCTCGAATGTAGTTAAAATGTGGCCCTGCTGTTTCTTAATCTTGGTCTGGGAACTACTAACCCTGACACCTGTCAGTGCTTGAGATGGCGGCTGGAGACCCAGGCCCCACTGGTGATTGGCCGCACAGCCCTGGCCTGCAGGCGGGCAGGAGCCATCACTCTCACAGGCCTGGGAGTCACTGGGAGTAGTTTGGCAGCTATGTGTTGATTAAATGTCTTTGGCAAGGCAGCTGGCAGGAAAGGCATTGTAGAAACAAAGGCACCACAGGTTGCCCAGCCAGGTGAGGACAGAAGGTGAGAAGAGATCACACGTGGCCCAGCCTGTGTCTTTCCAGCAGAATCTGATTAAAGCCAGTAACACTGTCGGACGAAGGTTCAGGGCAGATGTCAGCATAGCGCAGCGGAGACTTTCTGCAGTGAAACTTGATCGAGCCCTGGGGAGAGAGAGATGTGGCTTAACCCCGGCTCCCAGGAGAGCCAGGGCCTAAGGTACCTCACAGAGCAAATGCTAGGGATGCAGGGGAGTGTGGACAAGGAAGTGCTGGCATGAGAGTCACAGCAGTAACAGGACTGAACTAACCAACATGTTTTTCAGTTGGTTAAGTGGCAAAGTCCAGAGCGGTATTAGAATAGAAAAGTTCACATCCCTGCAGTGTGAGGCAGATGAGGAACAGTAGAGCACTCCCCTCCTAGAAGTGTCACCTGCCTCAGCCCTAAGACTGCTTAACGCCAGAAGGTCGAACAGATTTCGGTTTACAGTGTGTGGTCATGGGAGATTTTACCCAGGTTCTGGCTTACAGTAATTCCTCTGGCAAGAAATTCAGTTTCCTTCCTTCTGCCTTGTTGATATCACGTAATCCTTGAGTGTTTGCCTGTTTTATATGCTGGCTGACTTTCCCCCTGGCTGCTCGTAATATAAAAACACAGGGCACTAGGACCAGTGACTCACCTGGTTGTCATTTCCTTAGCTGGAAAAGGAGAAAAAACAAGTAACATAATTTGGGGAAAACCTGGTGCCAAATCCAGTGCCACTGGAGTAAGCAAGCTGTCAGCACAACCCAAGTTTTTTGAAAGTGGGACTAACTAAAAGGTGACTCTAGAATAGTGGTCGCCAGCCTTTCAGACCTCATGGACCAGTGGTCCACGGACCACCGGTTAGTGACTGCTGCTCCAAAGGTTTCCTTAAACCAGCGGTCGCCAACCTTTCGGACCTCACGGACCACTGGTTGGCGACGGCTGCTCCAGAACACTTAGAGGCAGTTTTTAAGAGATGATGAAAAGGCTCTGGAAAAGTCGGAGTTGTAACTGCAGCCAGTTGGGAAGCTTAGGCTCTGGTTTCCCCAGTAGGGTTAGGACGGCTCTTGTCCCAGCCTCAGACCTGCTCCCGCTGTGGATTCCTGGGCCTGGCCTCCTGCCTTCTACAGTGAGATGGGAGGGACCCAGAGCTGCTGCCATCCATCCCATCACAGCTTACCTGAGGCAGTGCTCGGATGGACGTGACACCATCTTGCTCTTGTGCTGTCTGGACAGTGTAGCTACGGGGGCTGCTGTTGGGGAGCTGGAGGCAGGCCCAGACCACCAGTTTCCTCTGGAAGCCGTGCACACCCACGGCTGCGTTGGCCAGGACCAGTCCCAGGGGCCAGAGGCGGATTATTGCCCCCAGGAGCCAGCTCTGTGCCTGGGGCAGCGGGAAGGAGCTTGGGGAACCGGGAACTTGAAATAAGTGTTTTTCTTCCACACCATCCAGTTCTTTAGAAGCAAGGAAGGCCATTCTGATCTTAAAAAGAGAACACCACTTTATAGCTTTTGACTTATTAGCTCTCAATGGAAAATGGAAACCAAAACCCTCTTTAATAAGTCAGCTTAAGAAGGTGAACTGAAGGGCCCCTGGCTGTGAACAGCTGGGTGCCTTCAACCAGACTGGCTCTGTGTGGCAGAACTTCATACCCAAGGCAGGTGGGCCTAGGCCTTACACAGGCTACTTGAGCCGATAATTCCATGGTGTTAGCACGTTCCCAGTTGCTTATGCCACGCTTTACTGTCACAGCCACCCTGCAGTGTAGGTGGGGCGTGGCCATTTTGTGCATGAAGAACACAAGACCACCCACTTTGCAGTGGCAGGGCCAGTGTTCCAACCCGGGTCTATCTGGTACCGAAATATCCACAGGCAACCCTGACTTCTTGAGTCCGATACTCACTCTCCACTTCCGCCATGCGCGCTTGATGACTGTGGCAGCTGCGTGCAGCCTCTGGACTTGTTTCCGAGTTAACCAGGAGCGAATGGCTAGAGGGTTGCCCAGAAACAGGAAAGAGTACAGTGTTCATTACAGCTCTTGGTAACCTGGCTGTGCAGTGACACCAGAGCTGCCCTAAAAGTTTGAAATAGGTATTTTTTCAGTCCCTGGCTACCTGCACACTTCCCTCAGGTAAGGTACTAAAGTCAATACATGAATCAGAATTGGCCCTCACACACCCACAGACTTGGAGGTGCCTGTACCTTGAAGGGACAGTTAGGAGCGGGGTCAGCTCCCACCCTTGGCTCAGTCTGGCATAATGTCCAGGGAATCAGGGGTCTGAATTGCCTGCATCTTTTTTTTTTTAGAGAGGAAGGGAGAGAGATAGTTAGAAACATCAATGAGAGAGAAACATCGATCAGCTGCCTCCTGCACATCTCCCACTGGGACTGTGCCCACAACCAAGGTACATGCCCTTGACCGGAATCGAACCTGGGACCTTTCAGTCCGCAGGCCGACACTCTATCCATTGAGCCAAACCGGTTTCGGCTTGCCTGCATCTTTTAGAATTAGTTCTGTTTATTGGGAACCCAAATTTGCTTGCCTTGTGAATCCATGAGTGATATCACCAGACACTCACATGCTGGTAAAGGTAATAACTACTAAATGGTGGACTGACCATGACACTTTCTTACTGAAATTTCAGCATTTTTTTCTTTTTGGTATAATCATATTCAGGAAAAGGACTATTCCATAAAATATGAATACATTTGGATTCTAGAAAATGAAAATGTTTAAAGACACATAAAAGTCAGCTGTTACCTTACCAAACCACATAGTTCTACAGTGCTTTCTTATGCATTGTTTTCATGCTAATATGCACAGAAATGCACCTTACGAAGGTGGCATCACCCTGATGTATAGTTTGGCACCCAGGTTTGAACATCATATTGGAAGTGGTTTTCCATTAAGTTTAAAATCTTCAAAAAGACTTGTTAGCTATTTCGTAAGGATGGTCCATAATATGGCCATGATTCCACCACTGTCCAATGTTTGGGTGGTTTCTAGTATTTTTATTTTTAAAAATGAGACTGCTGTTAACATGGTTCATACATTTCTTCCTTTGATGAATCAAATCTTGACAGGTTTTTACCTTCTTTTTAAAAAAATATATTTTATTGATTTTTTACAGAGTGGAAGGGAGAGGGATAGAGAGTTAGAAACACTGATGAGAGAGAAACATCAATTCAGCTGCCTCCTGTATACTCCCCACTGGGGATGTGCCCGCAGCCAAGGTATATGCCCTTGACCGGAATCGAACCTGGGACCCTTAAGTCCGCAGGACGACACTCTATCCACTGAGCCAAACCAGTTAGGACAGGTTTTTACCTTCTTAAATTCATTAAAAGCCCTGGAGACCAGCAGAGTTGTTGTAAAGGGGAAGAAAGATGGAGTAAACAGCTGTCTAGGTCTGGGAAAGGGAATTAAAGGGATTTTTAGCCTCCGCTACCTACATAGCACCCGTATTTGTGGTGTGATCTGCTTTCCACTCACTGAACTGGAAAGACGCTCTGGGTGAGGACGGGAGCGTGAACCCCAGGTCACCACAGGACGTGCCACCAATGCCTTGAGGCTGGAACACTGTCAGCTTTGGTGTGTGGGGATTCAAGGAACAGCATTCAAAGGAACGTAGGGTCTGCAGTCACTGATGGCAGCTGCACTCAAGGCCATCTGTGGGCCTGGAACGAGGCTACGTGCCCAGGGCCCCAGTCCTACCTGCCTGGATGAGCACAGCAGCCTGCCTCTGCCTTTCCTGCCTGCGATGCCGGTGTCGCCTCCAGCCAGCCTGGATGCAGCGGGCGCACTGCTCCAGCACCTGGGCACGCCTGCGTTCCAGGAGCTCCAGCTGGGAGAAGGGGCATCCACTGAGGTCCGCAGCCCACCCTCCCCCTATCCTGAGGAGAGCCCAGCCCGTCCTGCTGAGAGTACACAGCTGTTTCTGTGACCTCTGCTCCTCTGAAGCCAGCTTACCGTGGAGTCCGTCATGAACACCTTGGTCCTGCCACAGTGCACTGTGGCTGGTGTGGCCTCCACCGGGTCACCAGATGTGGCTGCTGCGCCAGGCAGAGCGGGCAGAGTGCGGAGGATGTCCTGGAGCAGAGGCTGCAGTGTGGCCTCCGCGGCCTGTGGAGACCATTCTAAGGGTGGGAGACAGAGGTCCCATCAGTGCCTCGTCTTCTACACACTTCTGTGGCCTTAAGAAGCTGGTTCTGGTCTCCCTAGCATTTTACAGGCCTCTTTTTTGTTCTTGTCTCTAGCCATTTTTACCTATTTTTTGGGGGGGAGAGACCAGGAGCAGCCCCTCTTATCCCTCAGGCCCCTGGCTGTTATGAAGAGTCTTGGAATCCCACTGTAGCTGTGCCCTGGACTGGCCTGCAGCCTCCACTCCTGTGGGTCCCTTTGGGCAAGTGACAAAGGACACTTGGTGCCCTGAACATGCTGAGGGCCAAACGGCATTAGGGCCACCCCCTCCGCCCTAACAGCTCACTTCCTGCCATGGAAGGGCAAAGAGAAGACAGACTCTGGGCCTGTGGAGGCCATGGGGCCCCCCCTGCCGACCTGCATCACAGGGCTGACTGCTGTGGAGGGAGGTTTACCTGAGGCTCTGAACACCTTTAGCTGCCCCGCGCCTCTCTGGAGACAGAGGCTGCCATAGAAGATACCGCAGACGAGAAGCAGCAGCAAAATCAACCAGAGCCCAGGAGACGTGGGCAAGAGACAGAGCAGAGCAGACCATGGAGAGAGGAGGAAGAGCGGTGGGGAGAAAGGTGAAAGGAAGGTGACAAACTGTGCCCAAGACAGAAAAACAAAGCAGAATTGTCCCAACTGGGTTTCCTGCCCCAAGGTAAGGCTGTGTAAGTGGGGGGAGTGGTTACCGCTGGGCTGGGATCCTACTGGGCAGAGCCGGGCACCTCTTTTCCTCCTCCTGTGCTGGGGCCACAGCCTCAGGACAGCCACATGCCCACAATCCTCAAATCAGGGTCACAGGCCAGAACTTTCCCTTGAGATCAGAGTTTGGGGGGAGGACCCCAGCAGGCTCAACAGCTCCCCCAGACCGCCTTTCCCCACTGGCCAGGCAGAGCTCATTATTTTAATAATTATTTTAACTAATTTCTTCCTTTCCTTTCCCTCTACATCTCATCAAATGCTTGCCCAGTCTGACCAGTTTCTTCCCAATATTTCCTGTGTCCAAATCTCTAGCTTCTCTCTACTCCCGCCAACTTAACAGCCCACCACGTGGCCCCACAGTAGTCTCCAGGGAACATGAAGAGTGCCCCCGTCCACCCAGAGAATAAAGTCCAGCTTCTGTGACTCAGCCCCAGCTGTCACCCCAGCCTCACCTCCCACCACTGTCTGCTCCTATACGCCAGTAACAGTAGACTGATGAACAAATGACTAACAAAGGGGCCCCACTCACCTGAGCACCCTTCATTAAGAGACGGGCTCTGGGGGCCCCGGGCTGTGCGAGGATGGAGCCGCCTCAGTAACGCGTACCGTTCCACAAAGTTCTGGTGAGAGACCCTGGAAGCCAAAGTGGGTGGAAGAAGGGAATGAAGCAACTTCATCCGTGGGCACAGCGCTCAGGATATGACGGGAATAATTGCATTTAATCTGCTCAACAACCCAGCGAGGTGCTGCCCTGGCTGCACTGCATGGACGAGGCTGTAGCTCTGGAGAGATTATTTTAAGGGTCTGCTCTTCCTGGGCCCTTTCCTAGAGGACTTGCTGTCTGCCTCCTTCCAAGGGGCGTGGAGGGCCCCCTCTGGACAACTAGACCACTCCTACCTCACACCCGTGCTTGGCTGCATCTCCACCCGTCCTCTGACCCACTCTACTCCCCTTCACGGCAACACTCTCTAAACAGCTGGTGACATCTGATATCTGCACTTCCTCCTCTAAGTTTGGCTTCTGCCTACAACACTGCACCATGTGGCTCCTGTCACAGCCATCAGCATGCCACTAAAATTGTTGCTGGTTTCTCGTCATCCCCCCCCTCTCAAAATGTGAGCATTCCTCAGGGCATGACCCCGATCCCTTCTATCTTTGATGGGGTTTCCTCCTTGTTTGTGGTGTTAAGACCCTCCAGTTCTTAGAGCTCTGCTGAGCCCGGGCCTGTCTCACAGCCATTTTAAACCTGACCCTCCCACCCTGCAATCTGTGCCTTCCTCAAACCATCTCGCCTCCAGGAATTACCCCCATCCACCCATTTGCCTCAGAGGGAAGCCTAGAAGCTGACCATCCTGCCTAATAACTCACGTTCAATCAATCCACAGTCCTCTTTCTATCACAAGCCACACCAATTTTACCACTTCTCTCCAGTGTTCACTGCTGCCACCCTCATCGGGGACACCATCTCACTTATACACCTGCAACAGCCTTTCACTCCTCTCTTTTCCTGACACTACGTCCAACCGCCACATGGTAGCCATGGGATATGAGTGAGAGCACAGCACTCCCTCCTCAGAATGCCCGGCAGCTTCCACAGCACCCAGGACAGGCTGTGAAGTCCTTCAGGTCTGGCCCCCATCCCTCCCTCCTCTCCTCCCAGTTCTCTGAGCTCCAGTCACTTAAGCACCTCTCAGTTCCTAACCTGTTCCCTAGTCTGGAATGCTCTCCTCCCCAAATCTTCCCAGAGGCCCGAGCTGCCTACGACCCCTCCTGGACCAGCCCAAGGATACCCCTTCCCATTAGTCTACCTCATAGCATTTTTTGTTGCTTCCCTAGCATTATTTAACTTTATAGTTATTGTTCTTTTTTCCACAGGAATGTATGACCTAAGAGGGAAGACTCAACCTTCCTTATTCACTGATACATATAGAAACAGTGCCTAGCACAAAATTGTGCACAGAAAGTAAGCGGATAAATGACAAGCACAGTTCCTTGAGTTCAGGCTGACACCTGTAGACCTGCCCTTTCCCTTCATCTCCATATCCGTCTCTTGGCTGGGCAGGCTCTTGTTGGGCCTGAGTCCCAGTTCTACCCTGACATTGGCCCTGCCCCTGCAGTGATGGGCCCACTCACCGGATGGGGAAGCCGGCGGCACTGATGTGGATGGTCTCCACAAGACCACAGGCCTCCAGCTGGCTCAGGACCTGCAAGGGTGGAGAGACAACGTGGTACCTGCAGCATGGGGCCAGCAGGGCAGACGGCATTCCCATGGCCCTGCCAGCGTGGACTGCAGGGTCTCCTGAGACTCCATTGAGGGAGGTATACACTCTGGGGCTGGTGCAGCGAGAAATTAAGAAATACCTCCCTGCTAAAAGGGTCCTGGCAGCCCCAGGTTCCCTATGTGGTTCATGGCTGCTGGTACGGCTCTCACCATCCCCACAGTGCAGATGCTCTGCCTCACATGCAGCCCAGCCCCATTTGTTTTTATTTATTTTATTTTTGGCTAGGCAATCAAGTGAGTCACAGCTGCAGGGCATGGGAGGTTGGTTATACTGTGAAGAGCCTTCTGGGACCTGAACCATGGTCTTGACCAAAGAAGAGTGGTTCTGGCTATAACCCCCAAGGTCACATCTACCAGTTGACTGTGGGACACTCCAGCATTGCCCAGTATTCACACCTCATCCACATCCCATGGAGCCCGGTACCCTGAGCAAAGAACAATTGCTGGCCCTTTTTGTGCAGATTAAAAATCTACAATGTAAGGCGGGACAGACTTCCAGCTAATTGCAAGAGAGCCATTCTGGGCAGCTCCAGTCTCATCAGGGCAGTGCTAGGTGAGAAGAGAGCAAGAGGCGCCAGAGCCCTACTTCCTTCCTTAGCTAGGTCCCTGCAGTGCAGACCACACAACCATACACGACTGTCCTGCCAGCTATGGGGAGACAAGCCCCTCTAATGTCAGGCCCAGCCTGAGAGATCCCCTCTGGTCACTGCACTTGGAGTAGATGTCCTGCCCTTCACCCCTGCAGGGCCTTGGCCAGATATGGCTCTCTGTGAAGCAGCTTTGGCTCAGTGTGAATTACCTCCTCCGGGAGGAAGGTCTGTGCCTGGCCCTTGCTGTTGGGCTTGATGCAGCGAATGTAGTGGGGCGTGGTGCTGTGCAGAACCTGCAGAAGCTGTTCCAGGGAGGCCTGCAGAGGGGAGAGCCAGGTCAGGCAGAGGTTGGAGCTGCCTGGGGGCATCAGCTGGGCCCTGGTTAGAGACTGCATCAAACACCTCCAGCCCCAACACCAGGATCTTCTTGTGCCCTGGGATGGCTACTGGAGGCTCTTACTGTGTCCAAGCACTCCCATCCCTTGACCTCCCACTGCTCCTCACATCTGCCTCCAGGGACCTTTCTTGACCTGTGACCCTCCAACTGGTTGGTCTCTCTGCATCTGGTGTCAGGGTCCCCCAACCCCCACAATCTTATTAGAAGAGAGCGATCAGAACCCCCAGCCATTCATTCAGGAAATAGCTGTTATTAAACCAAAGCCTATGACCCAGGCAGTCTGCTGCTGTCTCAGAGCCAAGTCTAACAAGCTGCACAGACACTGGATGGGCACCATCAGTAGTATCTGAGGCTGGACAGGAAAGTGCTATTCAAACCTGGGCTCCCTGGGTACCTTCTCAAGGAGGTGATGATATTGCAGAGCTTTGAAGGATGCGAAGGAATAAACTAAAAAGAGACATGGAGGGTGGAGCTGAGGTGGCTGGGGTGAGAAGCAGAGTGTGCTGAGAGACAGCAGAAAGTATAAGATACGGGAGGAGACAAACCTGCACTGGCCAAGGACAAAGTCTGAGCAGGAAGCTGGAGAACGGAATGGGCCAGGGCACGGGTGCATGTAACTATTGCTCTTCCACAGCCCCCCATAAGCAGTGGGTGAGATCCCTGCGCCACCCACAGGCCCCTAGGCCAAGTGTATGTGTCTGTTTCCTGTCTCTGTCTCCCACACAGGACTGTCAACTCAGTGTGAACCTGGACCATGTCTTCTTGACTCATCAATGCTCTCTGTAAACAGCACCAATCCTGGGAAGTGCTTGGTAAACATTTGAGACTGAGGAGTGACCCAAACATGTCATGTTAGCACTACCAGACCCACCTTGAACCTGGACACCACCGTCAATACAGGGGTCCTGCTCTTGCCAGAAGGCTCCTCCTGGGACTTCTCTTCTGGGTCAGTAGGAAACAACACCTTGAGCAGGGGGTCCTCGGATTGCTGCAGGAGCCTGGTCAGCTCAGGGGGCACAGGGTCCTATTGGCAGAGGACGAGAACAGTGGGTGAGGGCAGGTGGTGTGCTACCCAGGGCTGTCCACAGGCCTGCCAGCCTGCTCACCCAGGCCCCAGAGGAGGGAGTTCCAGGGTAGGACAGGCCCTGAGTCTGGGAGACAAGCTGGTCGCCTATGAATCAGCAACCCAGTGTGACATGGGTCATTTCTGGGTGGGTCATGCCTGATGAGCAGACCTCAGGCAGATGGCCCCAGAGGTGACCCTGGGTTCTGGGAAAATAGGAGGGAGGGAGACACACAATAGGAAGCTGCGTGTATGGCCAGCAATGACTCAGCGTGCCGTTGTACCCAGGTCCCCAGGGACCATGGCCCAGCCTCACCTTGTTCTTCTCCACCAGGCCTGCGGTGTGGTACCGCACAGGCCCCGCGTAATGCACCACAATGAAGCTGGGCTCCCGGCTGAGCTTGTCGTGACCCAGGCAGGGGCTGCCTGCCAGGGCACTTTCAATGCGTGTCTGGAGCTGGGCTGCACTGCTTGGCCGGTTAAGGCGGCATTCCTACGTGGGGCGGGATTGGCAGACAGCCACAAAAGTGAGAGGGCTCCCCACACCCTTAGCCTCCACCCCATCGCCCCCATGGTAGCAGAGTTGTCACATAGGCAGTACAGTGACCCTGAGCGAAGGAGTACAGGGATTAGCAAACCCATTTGGCAGATGGGGAGACAGAGGCACAGAAAGGGCAGTGACGAGTCTTCGAGGCCCCAGAAAAGTCCAAAGCCCACCTCTGCTGCTCAGCACACTACTGATGCTCCCACCTCGTTTAAGAGGGAGCAGATGCTGATGGGGGTCCCCTCGATGAGGTCCAAACAGGTCTGGTTGTCCTGGTAGTTGACAAATGACCACTCCAGGCCCTCCAGTGCGTATTCCTCCTAGAAGGCAAGGTGAGGGGGCAGGAGGCAGCTAAGGGCTGAGGCCCAGAAGGCCATCCTATGGCTGGCCTCAGCAACACCAACTATTCCAGAATGGCATCAAGAACTAAAGGCTAGGTCCTGGGGGCCAGGAAGAGATAGAGGATCCAGGACGGCCCCACCCTGCCACACGCTTACCTGCTGAGCTCTTAGGTAGTGAGCCACAAAGTGCTGTTGCAGCTTCTCATTGGCATAGTTGATGCACAGCTGTTCCAGACTGTTGTCAGGGAATGACTCAAAGCCGTACACATCCAGCAGGCCTGTGGGGGGTGGGGCGGTGGTGAGGGGAGAACCCATGGGGCCGCTGCAGAGGCCGGGGGACTGTAGGGGCCCAGGATGAAGCTTCATCCTTGGCAGCCTGGGGATGAGGCTGAGCGAGCATGACACCCACAGTGGGCAGAGCACCGTACCCCACCCCAGGGTGCCATCTCTACCTCATGCCCCCTCAGAGCTTGCAACAGGAAGAAAGGCCAAATGTGTGTGAGGGGCAACCCAGGGCACCAGGTCTTCTTCGAGGCTGAATCCTTAGGTCCTGCTACCAGGACCTTGAGGGCACCAGTCCCAGGGAACATTTCCTACATCCAGCCCAGTTTGGAGGGCCTGGGTCTCACCAGACCAGTTGGTGTCTAGAATTCCACATTCTGTGAACAAACTCACTGGTGCCTCTGAGCTCTACTGCCTCCCCTACCTGACATTCCTACCCAGGTTCCAGCAAGGTTATCTTTCACTCATCCCCACTACTCTCCCGGACAGGTGCCATCTGAGTCTGCCTGGTGAGCTATGGCGAGTCAGATGTGAGCATCCGGGAGTAGAGATGTCCTTGCCCAAACACTGGTGGACAGATGAGGAGAGGGGGATGCAGGGAAGGGAAAGGAGCTGCCAGAGTTAGCACGGTGGGCCCAGAGCTGCCCTGGTCTTTTTTAGAAGGGGTGTTCCCGGCGGGGGGCCCCTGCTACCTATGAAAGTGGTCCAGGAGTCGGGGGCCGCATAGATGCTGCTGTTGATCACCGATACCAGCCAGTCGAACAG